TATATATACCCCACAAATCAGCACTGTAAACATAGACAAAAAATATATAATTCAGCTGCGCTTGGTTGCATGGTTCTGTAGGCTTAGGTTTTTTAGAAGTGTTAGCATATATGATATTGATAAAAACTCATTGGTGATGCAGTGTTTTAAGGGTTGTTGTCCACCTATAAACAGCAGTAATAAACATTTTTTTTTTATCATGATGTATACATGAGGTATTAAATATAATTTTTATGGCTTTGTTTTTGTAAAGGATTATCCATCTATCAGCCAACTGAATAACAAAATGAAGGAAAATAACATCATTCCTATCTTTGCTGTTACAAGTTCACAGATGGAGGTGTACAATGTGAGTTTACAGAAAGAAACAACCAGTCATTATAATCACACATCAAAAGATGATTTCATTTCTTAGTCTAATGATGGACATGACTTTTTCTCACGACAAAAACTCCACTCCTTAAGTCTCCTAAAGAGACTTCACTGATAAAGCATTACATTATTTCATTTATTTAAAGAGTGCCTCTGAATATCAGCCGACCTTGTAGGATACGCTGGAAGGGTCACCCTCTATAAATATGGTTTAAAAAAATATATATATATAAAGTCAGTGTAAGCTATTAGAAAAGACTAGGTCATTTTAACTTAATTTTGTTAAAGACTAGATTTTTGTGATGTTGTATTTTTATTTAAATGTCTACAATCTATATAACTTAATCCTCTAAAAAGTGGTGTATCTAGGGGGAATGTGCAAGGTAAGGGGGAGCCGCAAAAAGGTACTTGCATCCCCCAGTCGCTTTGAATAAACGCCAACCTCAAATAAACACCCCCTCTAGGGCCTAATTTTTGGAATAAACGCCTTCCTTGAATTATCACCCCAAGGTATTTAATAAAATAAAAGAAAGAAAAAATAAATAAATAAAAATAATAATAATAATAATAATAATATAAGAATGGAAGCAACATCATTCTCAACACATTCTAAAAAAATAAAAAAAATATAAAAAAAAAAATAAAAAAAAAAAAAAATAAATAAATATAAAAAATAAATAAATAAAATAAAATAAATAATAATAATTATTATTATTATAATAATATATTTGGAATCAACACATTCTATTAATGTTCTACTTCAGTAAAACATATTTCTATCATTTGGTTGGGATCGGTCTTTATGATCATGCAATTACACATTTTGATGTTAATTATATGTTGTAGTTTCACATTTACAGTGAAATTAAGCTGCGTTTATTTGAGTATATACTTATCCGTTTCACACTTAACAAAAATAAATGTCTCCCTCGAGTAAACACTCCCTTGAAAACATATCGTATTTGTTTATAGAAGCATTATTTATTATTTGTAAATTTTATAACATTGTGAAGATGTTTTGTTTTACAGGAGTTAACAAAACATATTCAGGGGGCTACTGCCGGTGAACTTGCCTTGGATTCCTCCAATGTCGTTGAACTTGTGGAGCAGAACTATAAAGTAAGTTTAATATTAGTAAAGATAAATTAATTGGCATCACAGCATTAGTACCTATGAAAATCATTCTTGATGATTTCATAACAAGCACAAGATATTTTCTTTTACCAAAAGAAGATTAATTTCTGTTTAGACACTTTTATAAAACATACAATTTCTAAAATTGAATTTTACAGTATTTTTTTTTGGCTCAAATACACACGGTATATCTTTGGATAAAATTCAGCGTTTCTTCTGCTACTGTTGGTATGCATTTTTGGCTCTAAAGAATCATGTCAGTACTCTATATGTATTTATGTTTAAATCCTTACAACTATATTGTTTCCTGTTGCCTGCATATTAGAGGACAAAGCTGCTTTTTATTGGTAAATTGTTATGCACATTTACACAGACATTGTGTATTGTTTGTGTTAAATTTACAATCATAATTGAAAAATTTATGCTCAGAGTGGACTACTGTTTTGATTATTTTCGAGAATTTGGGGAAGATATGTAAAGGAATATACATTCTGTGTTATGCCTGAATAGAAATGTTAGTTTACAGTATCTGTGGTGAATTAGTGAGCAAATAACAGTTAAAGAAATCTTCCAGCCCTTCCGTCTGCATTTTTCTAGCAAACACAGACAGGATTCTCATGTATGTGTCTGGTCACCACTACTGGGGTTATTGACTTTGTTGTTTTAAATTTTCTGTTTCATTTGGCTGTGTTTCTCAATATTTAACTTTCCAATTAAATTCAAATCAAGTTTACGGAGTGTAAAAATAAACGAATGAATGAGGGAATGAATGCAGAAATACAAGGCGAACTCATCCATATTAGATACACTGTCTATGGGTTGAGGTAATTTAACGACAAAAAATTTGTATTGGCTTTTGAAATCAGCTTTCAATTGGTAACTGCAATAAGAGAATAGTTTTGTTTTTTTTTAATGAGCAGAAATAATACATTTATAAATAAAGTATCACATGTTTTTGCATAGACCCTTTGTGTAAAATCAAACTCAGATGCTATTTTCTATCATGTCGGGTCTATGCGAGTTAAATGCAAACACGATAGGTCTGCGCCGGGGATAGTTGCGTCATTCTCATTACTCCCCAATGATAAATCGCACCAAGCTACGCCATAAGATGCTGTCAGATTTGGCCTTTAATTAGGGAATACCCCAGATGTTTTTTTATTTTTCTCATTGAAACTCATGATACATCCTTTTTATTTTTACTTTTGTCTGATCAGGCTGCTTATTTGTTTTTAAGGTTAGACGAGAGTTTTTATACCTTGTTTACGAACCGACCGTCTGCCAATGATGATAATTTCGAATAGAAATAAAATTTTTGTATTTGGCCAATCAGTACACCCGCAGCAATTAGAAAATGGAAATTTCAGAACTTTGACCATCTTCTTACTACACTGTTTACATTGACCAATTAAATTTTATTTTTATTTTCTCATCCATCTGGATGTTTTTGGCAAAACCATTTCCTAAATAAGAAAACTAATATTTTTTTAAATACAATCTTAAAAAAATACGTTCGCAAAACAGGGTATAAAAACAATTCTCCTTAATAACGACTTTGTCTGGATTTTTGTTGTATTGTTGCCAAAACAATAGCAAAATTGAAATATGAGTTGCTTATTTTTCAGAAAATTACTTCAAAAGTGGAACTATCAGATAACGCTCCTGAGAATGTCAGGGTTGACTATGTTGCCTACTGCCTTGGTAATCAGTCGCAGGTTAACACAAAATCCTGTGGTGGTTTGAGTTTGGGTCAATCTGTCAAATTCAAGTTAGCAGTGACATTGAGCAACTGTGATGACAATTCAGAAAAGAGGTAAATTAAATTTCTATTAATTAAAATAAATAGATAATATCTATGTGTTTTCAAAGTTTTCAAATAATTCAATATCACTTTTTCATTTGTTTGATTAATAATCCCCCAAAAAATATATTGAATTGCTTATTTTAGAGGATTACAGAATTTATGAACTTATGTGTGTAATAATAAAATTAATGTAACCATTTCAATGGAGTTACTTTTTAAACACACCCTTGTGACCTGTGCTGAATGCATTGTGAAACCTAAAAAGTATATTTTGGCTTCAGATATTAATGTAAGAACCTCTTGTTTAATAACTGATTATTTAGAACTGTAAACAGTGGCATATCTAGAAGTCTTGAATTGGGTGCTGATGGGGGGGTGCGAAAGGGAAGTGCAGGGGGCTCGATGATCAGTTGAAGGGCGTTAACTTGCAAAATAAGGTGATTGTAGGTGATGCTTAACTACTTGAGCATGATTTTTTTTGGAGGGGGGCGACTGGGGGAGCGTGAGTAATTTTTGGAGGGCGTGCACCCCTGCGCACCCCCTCTCCTAAATACGCCACTGACTGTTCATTACTATCTGTGTGTGCAGATCTCTACTACTCTTCAAAGCTAGCACAAAACAGCAATACAAAAATAGAACTTATTATCAGTGGCAGTACCAGAGATTTCCAGACGAGGGATCCGAGTTCCTCACCAAGAAAGTTAATATACATTAACTCCACCATTGCTGGAGTGAATGTTAATAACAGTCGTAACAGCCTCTAGATGACCAGAAATGCCACTCTTATACTGTCAAATTGCACAATGGGGAGGGGGCTATGCCCACTGGTGCTACAACTGCTTATATTCTTTTTGGCAATCCACACTAAGCATGACAGACTGATGTGTTGCTGGTATAGAATCGATTTTTTTTTGCAGAATGTAATATAATGTAATATAGTTTATTTATATAGCACTATATACTGAAGTCGCAAAGCACTTGAGGTGTGGACTAGCTTGTTCAGTAACTTGCTTCTCCCCTAAGGGTCTCTTCTTGTCTGATCTACCCGGGGGCTATGGATCAGTACACCGGGGTAACCCCCTACTCGTCTCAGAAGATGTACTGGGTTCTCTTAAGTGCATATGAGCCAAATTGTGTACACTGGCCTACGATCTATAGTCCTTATCTGAGAAGAATAAAGTTATTTTTCTTAATTTGAATGATTGATGGTTAATATGATTGACAGATAATGGACCTTTTGTAAAAGCTCCTCCCATCCCCCTTCCTTATTGTTACTATGGTCCTATAAAACGATGTGTAAAATCATACGCGAATGTGTGGTTGTGGGACAACAGGTTGTGCTTTTGAGGTATGCATATTCCTGGCGGGCCTGTTCTGATTGGCCAGTTCTTATTAAGTTTGATTGAAAGTCCCGAAAGGTCCATTTAAAAGATGATACTTATGCTTACTTGCAGGGTGGTTATAAAACAAGTCGGTTTCAGTGAGGAGCTTACTATCCGCATTCAGCCAGTATGCAGTTGTGGTTGCGAAACTTCTAAGGTAAATTTGTTCATTCTTCGCTTAGTACGCAGATAGCAGAACAATCTGCTAAAGTTGTGTGTATAATGATGGTTGTTTGTTGCCTGAATGGATTGATACTATATTTGTTGGCACTGTTGTGCGCCATTGTTACACTCTGTTGGAAATCAGGCTTTATATGCAGCCAAATTTGATTATTATTAATAATAATGGTGCTGATGTCTAATTCAATTCTGTGTATCGTCATATATTACACAGTGTGTAGCAATGAGTGGTATAGTAATTCACACGAAAAATATTTCGTCAAATGTAGCAACTTGTAACTAGGATTTGCGTGTGAAAATATTTTCACGTGCCAATCCCCAGATTTTCCAAGCATTTGTCTGTTGGGTATAAGTACATATGCACTTTCCTGTTCAGTATTCATGACCTTGTATCATATAATGCACTAGAAATACAGCACATCCTATTAAGTACATATTTGGACTTGTGCCTAAAATAATTCACATGGTAGATATACTGCTTTCAAAATTTGATTGTTATGAAAGCCATCAACAGTTTCATCTACACAAAAAGACAATGCAAAAAGAGACAGAGATATATATATAGAACCATGATGAGAAAATATCATCTTCTATCCATATATTTAGAATATTGCAGAAGTGCAACTGAAAGTCAGACTCCAGAAAAAAATGGGTGTAACCCCCTATTTTTACACCTTTTTCCCTCAGTTTTTAAATATTCAAAAATCTGTATCTCATTCACCATTGCTCAGTTTTTGATCAAACCACTTTTTTTTGTCTTAGAAAAATCAGTTCCGCAACATATCAAAAAATTTTTTTCCTCCGGAGCCTGACTTGAAAGTAATTAAAACAGTGCAAGCGAATAGAGAAACAAATGTTATTTAATAACTGGAAATAATATTAGTGCCACCTTTAAAGGTCAACTCATGCTGCGTCCTACGATGCAGCCCGACGCGATTCATCGTCTGGGACAGTCTTAAGCCGTCGTGAGAAATATTAAACATGTTTAATATTCTATGATGTGACTGTCCCCTACGCAAACCGTCACGTCTGCGTTTAACTCACACAGACCCGGCACAACAACAAATCGACTGCGTTGTACGACGCTGTCTGAGTTGGCCTTAAAGCGCACATATTTCTTCCTTAGAGCTGCTTGTGTTGCCATTTTTTCAATTGACATCATTTTGTGCATTTTTTTCCCTCAATTTTATAATTTTTTTAATTTTTTTTTTTAAATAGTCCTCTTTATTCGTCTACTATAATTTACCTTGATCTTGAGGTGTTTGAGGTTTACACCTGTGTGTCCCTCCCATGGATTTATAGTAGTTGAGTACTCATATGGAGAGAATTTCAGTTGGTGGTCAGACCACTGTCTCTCCAAACCTGAATCTTTTATATATTATTTCTGTTATTATAGGAGATTATGAGTGAAGTTTGTAGTGACGGTAATGGTACACTCGTCTGTGGCGGATGCCAGTGCAATCCAGGACGCTATGGACGGTTATGCGAGTGTAGCAGCAATGACGCTACAAGTAGGCTGGAGGATAATGATAAAGCATGCGCCATGTAAGTACAAAGTATTGTGTTTGTAAAAAGTTGTAATAATAATTAATGAATGAAAGCATTATACTGTCAGTATTATGTAGTATAAACGAGATTATGCCAATATTTAAAACAAATTTATATTCTAAAATAAGATAAAATAATAAATCCAAATTAATCAAAATAGTATTAATTTTAGACGAAAACTTCAGATGGTTTAAAATTTGTATAAATTTCAAGCATACAGATAATACTTTGCTCACTTTTATAATGCAGGTTAAAATGTAAACATTCTGAGCAATCTATTCTCTGATGTGTGCACTTGATTTTGTAGTAGTATACATGCATCTTTGAACTTAAATAATGATCACTTAATAACACAACAACCTTTACAGTTGAAACTAGTTAAACCTAAAATGAAAGTAATGTTAAGTTTAGAAACATGTTTGCATTTTCCTGTTAAGATAGTTATATGCTCTTTCGATTTTACAAGTGCTAATAATACAATTATTTAAGGATTATTATATAGGGACTTAAAACTGTTGATTATTGATGAAAGCACATGAAAATGTTGATAATATTATAATTCAGTGAAGATGTTGTATTAATATTATTTTTTTTTTTTAAATTAACGTAGCAAATATTTAGCATAGAGTAATGATAGAAAATGTGATGCAAGCCAATGTGGTTCAAAATCAAACTGGTTTCTGTATTTAAATAAGCTGAATAAGAATAATAATAATAATATTTTAAAAAAATTACTATCAGTTACTTAGTATCAAAGTCAAATGGCTTTGATATTAAGGAATCTGTAAAATTACATTGTGGTCAGCCAGTTTTAATATTTAGAATTGGAAAGTTGTTCAGAAAGTAAAAATAAAGAAAACATTAAAAAAATTGATTTGGCATTACCCTGAGTATAGTATTGTAATCAGTATAATTGCTCATTTGTATGTCTCACTTGTTTATGCTTTTTTTTGATAGTTTTTGTTTTTTAAGTTATGTACATTTCCCTTTTGTAGTTTAATGTTGTAATGTGTCACATTTTTAACACTATTACATTAAATTATTCTGTACATTTCAAATTTTCCTTAAATTTTCAATAAAGTTATTTTGAATCTTTGACCTTGAACCTTTATCCAATTCATTGATTGTCAAATAGTATTACTGTAATTACTTCTTATCGGTGTCATGTTGAATGTGTTGAATTATAAATAAAAAAATGGAAATGAAATGAATTATATATATGAATGTATACAGATACAATAAAGATTGGCACTCGCTGCCTCGTACACCGTCAGCCACCGAAACCGATTCCACTCCATGTGAGCGATGGACGATGCGATTTCGTCTGTTGATTGTCGGTGGCAGTCTAAATGATTTGTCATTAAGAATGATCAGTTGCGCGCACTTTGTAGTGTTGCATTCTCCATAGAATCGCATTGACCGTTGGATGCGGTGAGCGTCCAGCTTTTTTGATGGACAGTTTCCCTTCTTCTTTAGTGACAATTCAACGTCAGCCACCATTTGCTCGGGCCGAGGATCTTGTGTCTGTGGTGAATGTTCGTGCTTCCCTCGGCTCAAGCCTGGAGAAGTGGTTTCTGGGAAATATTGCGAATGTGACAACTTTTCGTGTGATCGTCATAACAACATGCCTTGTGGAGGTATTTATGTTTCTATATTTTTTTTCTTCTGATCTATTTTTGTTCTTACAATTTATTAATTTTTTAAACTGATGATTAATATTTTATATTTATAACCACAAGAAAATTATCAGCAAATATTAAATGAAAAATCATAATTTTGATAGTATCAATCTTTAAACTGACAGTGATAATTTAATATGAACATACAATAATCCTAATAAAATGATAAAAATATAATCATCCTGAGCTCTCAGGCTCACTAATTGGCTCTGTTGCAGTGTATCATAAATATTTCATTTTCAATAACAGGGTGTGACTGGGGGGGTTTAAAAAGGGGGGGTGACTGGGGGGGGGGGGTGGTGAGAGATTTTTGGGTGGCCGTGTGCCCCCTGCACAGCCCTAATGTTGAATAATTGAAATGGCTACTATTGCTTTTTGGTCACAGGCCCAGAGAAAGGAGAGTGTATCTGTGACGAGGAATTGAGAAGAAGTCGCTGTAAATGCAAACCTGGGTATGACGGGGATGCATGCAATTGTGCAACTAGCAAAGAGGAATGCATTTCAGCTAATGGTGTAAGTTTGACTATTGAAATATTAATACTATGCTCCAGTGACCTACAATACATACTGTAATATGAAGTTAAAGAATATTTGCAGCATAGTATTGAAACATAGTATAGTATAGAAAAGAGAATTTTGCTGTTTGCTAACCTTTCCCCTTCTTTCATAGCCAGGTCACTTTTTTCATACCGAATTTAGAGTTTTTTCCTAAAGCTGATTTTACAATATGGCAGTGGTCATGATCATTGGGAATAGGGGGAGTACTTCTTCTGATGGGCAAACATAGAATCCCCCCCCCATTGTTGTTAGTAGGTACAATCGCTACACTGTCGCTACAGTGTGTTGAGTGCATTCGTTATACTGCGTAGCCCCCAACGCAAGTGGGAAGGCTCGCCGATTCGACTGACCAATCAACACACAGAAAGCTGTCGGTGATAGCGTGTAGCGATTGTATGGAAACAAAGCTTTATGTTCAGTGATCTTTTTAAAAATGTATGGTACGACTATGAATATATTACAGTACACACCCTTGTGTTCAGCTTAGCAACCAGAAGTGTTGTACTTCTATTACACTGCTGCGTTGTGTGTCTCATGAATGTTCTATAAATTATTTGAAAAACACACACAACATTCTCTCATGCATGGTGTCATTGTATTCTGTTAAAAAAACAGTTCCTTTATCAAAAATTTATTATGAGTTTTATTTTTTAATATGATTTTATCTTAAATATAGCAATGATGCTTGCTGATATTAATAAATATTGAGATTTGTTATATAAGTCATAAGTTTCATATCGTTTCTCAAACAACTGGTATCACTTCCTCCCAAGGTATAATATGATTAGATATCAAGTTCTCCTATCTGTGAGTTGAAGGTTATTAAGATTCATTACATCACAATGCTTTTATAATGACGGAGTTGATTCGTGAAAAACAAATCAAATTGTATTCATATATTATGTTATTACTGCACCTACAACAAACATCCACCAATTTGTCATTAGCTACACCTGTGAACAATGAATCATTCATTGAAATGTTTTTCTTTCCACTTGAATCATCATTTGTTAGTGCCTATTTAAGGACATAGAATTGAATGTTTATCTTTCTGTCATTTTCATTCCTTCTACATTAGGTCATGCATCGATTGTTCTTAGTACCCGAGTGCCCTGTAATTTAAGCTGCCCTGTAATCCTAATATTTTTTTTAAGGATATATTTAACTGTAATACCTTCCTTTAGGGGATACAAATTTTTGTTCTTGTTTTTCCATTGCCATTCTATCATTTAAATAGTTGAGTCTGTTTCCAGGTGGTTTTTAAAGTCTAATATAAAGTTTAAATATTGACACAGTTAAATAATCTCAGGTAATTCAAGTGCATTATACTTTGTTGTGTACATCATAGTTCTAGTATGGTCTAGGTTGAATCTAGAGAAAACTAAAGCAAGAGAAACTGTAAGAAGCCACCTCAAAATATAACCTCTTTTCAACTGGTAAAAGGTAAACATGGATAATAAGGAAGTGGCTGTAAAATTTTATGTATCCAACAAGCTATGCTAAAAGATGTGGGTTGATCACATGCACAAGAATGCAGTCTGCTAAAATTAATTGCTTCTGTGTATTTTTGCTTATAAATATTAACCACTCTTTCTAAGAGTGTACATCTAGATATAATTGAAGTTATGCATTATATTCCATTTGCATTTTCATACTAGGTGTGAGCTTAAATATGCAGTCACTTTCACAACATACAATTAGCACTTACACTTATCAGCTTCTTTTGGAGTGCTTAAATATTAAACCCACAAACTTTCCTCTATATAAAGGACATGACTCAACCGCACTATATTGAAGTTCAATGTTCACGAATGGATACTATTAACATCTATTTTCTAAGACACCATTCCGTGACCTATGGGTCGCGACCCAATGCTTGGGTTGTGGAAAGATTTTGGTGGGTCGCATATCTCTTCAGATCGTCGAAATCTTACTTAATACAAACAATGACAAATGAAATCAAAATTACAGTAAAAGAAACTTTCGGAAATTGTGACATATATATGCATCAGTTTATTTTTGTAATGCGTGCATTATCAATTGTTTCATTTTCAGTAATATAGGCTTCTAATAAAACATTATTATTTTAGGTATGACAGCTTGAAAATTTTAGTTTTGTTTATTTCAATGTTTTTGGCAGTCAGGAAAATTATAGCAGCATTTTTTTCGTCAATTAAATGTGTCTAATAGTTTTCCAATACCCATATATATTTGGCAGGAAATTTAAGAATTTTTGAAGTAAAACACCAGCAAAATCATTTAAAAAAAAAGATCTAACTTATTGAAATATTTGATAACTTATATGAGTAATTCAAAGTGATATTAATTTCATTTTTAGGGTAATTTTTTTTGTGGGTGATAAAAAGAATTTTTTATGAATAAAGTGGTATCTTTTTTTGCTTGATAAAAGAATCAAGCTGGCATAGTTCTTCTGATCTCCGCAATCACAGACGTGATTTATTGACTTGCTCACTCAAACTCAGAAAAAATTATACCATATTCAATCATTTTACCATGAAATTCAGGTGAAAAATTTGGCGTTCGTGTCTGATGGATCGCTTCTGAGTGCTTGAAATTTATTTATAGATTTTATTCCAAGTATAATGCCTGAGAATATTTGTTTCAAAGGCAACATATTTTTTGTTTTTTTCCATAGAATAGAGTAATACATTAGGATATAAGCATAGATAAGCACCTTCATAGTTAGTTAATTAAGCATAAAGCATCAGAAATTTTTTTTTTTAAATACTTAAAAGTAAACCAGTGAATTGCTGAAGACATACATGTCTTCCAATTTCTGTGGGATATTTGTGTATATATATGTATTGCACATTCAATCAATCAATCAATGTGTGAATCAATCATTAAACAACGAGATCCACTTTAAGTCATAGATGAGTGATTGGCTTACTTTCTGAAGATGTCATTCCTCTCTTTGAAGTAGGGTCATTCGGTCGGCTCACTTCCCTAGTTTCTCTTCTCATCTTTTGCCACCATCGCTGCTTCAAGTTGATTGCTAATTACCTCTTAGCTCAAGCCTCTCTCTTAGCTCGAGCCTGTCTCTTAGCTCAGGCGTCTCCTAGTTTAAGCTTCTCTCTTAGCTCAAGCCTCTCTCTTAGCTCGGGCCTCTCTCTTAGCTGCCTCTCTCTTAGCTCAGGCCTCTCTTAGCTCAGGCTTCTCTCTTAGCTCAGGCCTCTAGTCTTAGCTCAAGAGGGTCATGTTTGATCAGGCCATATTGCTGAACTCCATTAGCTGTCAAAAAGTCATCTTTCTAATCTGTCACCACACACCAACATCATTCCACATCTTCAAACTCATTTTTCTTTATAACTTAAGAAGAGCTTGCAAACAAATGAAAGCTTGACTACTGTATTTAGTATTATGGTTTTATTTTTATAGCACCATGAATAAAACTTTAAAAGAGGTCATCCTAGATGTGTTGACTTTCAAAAGAGATTTATTCAGTGCATTATTACCCACAAATTAATTTATACAGCCACATTAAGATGTGTTTGACTCAGAGCACAGTTTAAATGTTTTTGACGATAATGATTATCAACTAAACATTTCATATCATTTATTTTGTCTTCAAATACAGAGACAATACATGCAAAAAGACAAAGAGCAATGGTATAAAACCCAAAGGTAACCCTTGATCTTGTATGGGTTACATTTATGATATTGTATCTAATTAACTTAATGGCAGAGGAATTCAAAATTATGTCTCAACAATAAGAGATAAGAAATTTTAAAGATCTGTCACTTTCAACCTTCTTTAAGATAATATTGAATTAATTCCTGCCCATAACTGAAGTTAGATTAAAATCTTGCCTAGTACATAATTTCTTTTGTGATTCCTATTGTGTTGCCCAGCCATTTGACACTGTCAAAAAAGGTTTTTCCAAGTCTGAAGTTATATCACCCAAATGTGTCAAGGTAGTAATCTACTATGAATTTATATTAAGGAATTTTGTTATGACTACCCAGTTAAAAATAATTATTATAAGAATGTTATTATAACGTTTCAGTTTGGTGTTAAAAACGTTATTTTGGAGAACCATAAGTAGGTGCTTATAACCTAATTTCACAACGGCATAACGTTTGAACGATCCTGCAACACAGTGTTAACGTTATTTTGTGACATACCAAACCATAAGGTTCACGAATGTGTTGTGTTTGCTCGGTAACAATAAGCCAAGACTGAATTATTCCGATCTTTGTTTCATGTGGTCTTTTTTTTTTCAAATCAAAAATTGTTATTTTTTTTCTTTTTTTTTTTTGGAATGTCGGAATTTATCATAAATATAATTAAAAATTAAAAAATTAAAAAAATAACCTTTATATAAAGAACATGGAAATGGCATTAAGTTGAAATTCAATTTTCAAAACTTTTCTGTTATAGTAAAGCTATAACTTTATTTTCATAAGTTTAATAGGTTAAGATTTGATTTACAGTTTACACTGATAAGTTTCCACTTGGCAACAATTGAGGCACATGCAGCCTAGACACTCTATTGTAAAACAATGGGTTTTCAAATTAGCAATATTAAGTGGTGTATTTGAAAATAGAATTTGTTTTGATTTCCTGTAATAGATTATCTTATTGAAGATGAATCATCAACCTTACAGGATAAATTTTTTATTTATGTTTGTGCTTAAAATTGCTTGTGGCGACACATGTTTAAAGAGACGGTTGTATTTTGACTATAGATGTACTGGGGAAGTCGGGTATTATTTGAGTGTAGTTAAAGATGTACTGTCCCTTGAAAATGACGAAAATCATAAAAAATAATTTTTCAATTAACTTGCTCATTTTGCAGTACCGTACAAATTATTAACTTGAGCATAGAAATCATTTAATTAAAAAAATATTTCCCTGATTTTTTAACTGGATAATTATAATAAAGATAAGAAAACACTTCCAGTGACTGAAGTGTTTCTATCATTTTTTCGCTGTAAAATGATGGTTTTTATGGGTAAGCATTTTTTAAATACACTAATTTCTATGTTCAAGTTGGTAATTTTTATGTTACTTCAAAATGGGCAAGTAAAAATTATTTTTATGATTTTTTTTTTTTGATTTTTTTTTTGCAAGGGACAGTACATCTTTAATGGTAGTAACAGTGGTGTTATGTTCGTGGCTGACAGATGCAGGGCATCAGGACCCCAAACATAAGGGCCCCAACCTGAAATTAAATACAAAATATATTTAGAAAACAAAATTTAAAAAAAATTTGAATTAGGCTGTGGTACTAATAATGCAAAAACATCTTTCTAACAAAGTGTGTTTAAAATGATTGTTATGGGCCCCAGTCAATGCAGATGGGATCTCAACTAAAAATTATAATAATAATAAAATTTTAAAAAACAAATAATAAAAAAGAAAATAACATTTTCCATGCCTGGAACCCCAACCATTTGTGTGATATTACTCCGGTAATGATGGAAGTGATGACGGTGGTGGGGAAATGGATCATGTTGGTGTTAGTGGTGATGGTGATGATGAAACATTTTGATTTTGAAGTACAGTATTTCCTATTGAATGCATACCTTGGAATTTCAAAACTCAATTGTTTGTTTTGAAGTGGATAATCTTAAAATATTTCAGTAATCAGCAAATAAAGTAGTTGTCATTGATGTATAAGCGAGATTAAATGACTAAAGGCTGTCATCACTTTAACACGTTTGTTCAATAGGAAGTTCTGTTTCATTAAAATCTCACCTTCCTGAAACATCTACCCACACAGTTTCTATTGTTACTTACCCAAGCTGGTTATTACATTTACTAATAGTTCCCATGACTTCAGATATAGATGAGAAGTCCATGACCTTCATGCATACTCATGTCAGTATGTTTAGATGTGATTTTGCTTCTGAGGAGGTTTGAAATTAGAAGATAGTTTTTGATGGAAAAGTAATGTAATTATCATAATAATAATAATCATATTTATAATCATCATTAAAAAATTAATTTATTATCAACATTATTCATCATTGTCTCATGATCATCACCACCACCACCACCATCATAATCGTTTTCATACATACTTGCATAGATAATACAAGGGTCCCAAGTTGGAAGAAGTCATTTCCAGGAGATCTGAATAAAGGGGCCTTCTTAACACATCTTGCTACATAATAGTGATACTCATCGATCGACAATTGATAATAAAGCAGTGCAACATGCAAATATTATAAATTTGCAGGAGATAAGTTATTTTACGGAAGATTCTTGCCTGCTTGCAAGAGGAC